GGCCCTGGGACTTCTGTGGCTGGTCATAAAGGGAATCATATCTTCAGTCTTGCTTAGGGCGACACACATGTTTCAGGTTTATTTATTTATTTTAAAGATTTATTTATTTATTTGAGAGGCAGAGAGAGAGAGAGAGTGAGAGTGAGAGAGGTCTTCCATCCGCTGGTTCACTCCCCAGATGGCCGAAATGGCTGGAGCTGGGCCGATGGTAAGCCAGGAGCCAGGAGCTTCTTTCAGGTCTCCCATGTGGGCGCAGGGGCCCAAGCACTTGGGCCATCATCTACTGCTTTCCCAGGCCACAGCAGAGAGCTGGATCGGAAGTGGAGCAGCCGGGACTGGAACCGGCGCCCATATAGGATACCAACACTGCAGGCAGTGGCTTTACCTGCTGCACCACAGCACCAGCACCATGTTTCAGGTTCAGAGAAGTCTGACTATTTGGAGGCTGCCACCCAAGGCAGACACCGGGCTAAATGGAGGGGCTGTCTGAGCACTCCGGTTGGTCAGCCGCTCAGCCTGGATGCCAGGTGTGAGTGAAGCAGCCTCCGGATGACTGTGGTCCCTGGTGCTGTGGTCTGGATGTGGTTTATGCCCCAAAGGTTCATGTACTGGAAGCCTGGTCCCCAGTGTGGTGATGTTCAGGTGGTGGAACCTTTAAGAGGTGGAGCCCATTGGAGGTGATTAAGTCCTCGAGCTCTACTTGCATAACGGATTAAAGAGAGCCTGGCCTCCTGGGTCTCTTGCTTCCTTGCTTATGCACCTGCCTCTTCTGCACACGGATGATTCCCTTTTTGCTTCTACATCATGTTGTAATGCAGCCAGGAGCCCTCCCCAGGACACCAGTGCCATGCTGTTTGAACTTTCCAGCCTTAAGAATTGTGAGCCAGATAAACCTTTTTTCTTGCACATTATCCAGCATCAGTATTATGCTACAATAACACAAAACTGACAAAAGCACCCAGTAGGGTGCAGTCACCTCCAGCATCTGGGTTTTTCTAGCTGAGGCCCCTGACACCGTGGAGCAGAGACAAGCCATCCCCTCTGTGCCCTGTGAAAATTCTTTACATGCAGAATCTACGAACATAAGCATTTTGGTTATTTTAAGCAGCTAAGTTTCAGAGTAATTTGTTATATAACAATAGTAATTGGAACAGTTAGTTTTCTATATACCTGTAACTAAATCATCCCTAAATTCAATATGGTCAAGCATACCAGGTGATTCATCGGTTCTGGTTTTCCCTTGGAGATATTTCTCCTGGAGATCTCTTTCTCCTTGTCCCAGTGTGGCCTGGATGCATAGTCACCAGCCTAGGACTTGCTGGGATGGCAACGTGGCCTGGTACAGATGTGCACATCATGGCCTGAGTTTGAATTCTGGCTTCCTGACTTTCGAGCTGCGGGACCATGTGCAAGCCTCAGATTCCTCCTCAGGACAGCACTTGACACATAGTGCTATCATGCTTGGCACCACTGTTTGTTCTTCTTCCCTTCACATTGCTCTTGGAATTCCAATTGCCTCCTGCCTAAGTCTGTGCCTTCGTTCCTAGATGCCACACCTTTTCCTTTCTTGGTTACTGCTTTGTTTTCATGGTGTTGAGAGGTGAGAGGACCCCCAGTGTGGCCATTTGGGGAGTGAACCAGCAGTTGGAAGTGCACACACACTCTCTCTCTGTAACTCTTTCAAATTAATAAATAAATATTTAAAAATGTTTTCCTTGTTAGGGGCCTACACTGTGGTACAGCAAGTTACAGCAGCACTTGTGACTCCAGCACCCAGATGATCACTGAGTCCTGGCTGCTCTGCTTCCCATTCAGCGTCCTGCAACTGTGCCTGGGAAAGCCACAGAAGACAGTCCATGTGGGAGACACAGATGTTCTAAGCTCCTATTTTTGGCGTGGCCCAGACCTAGCTGTTGTAGCCATTCGGGGAAGGAACAAGCCAATGGAAGATTCAGATTCTCTTTCTCTCTCCTCTCACTCTTTCCCCCTCCTCTTTATCCTCCCTCTCCCACTGCCACTTTGTCTTTCAAATCAATCGATCAATCAATCAATCTTTTAAAAACAAAAATTTCCGGCCAGCGCCGCGGCTCACTAGGCTAATCCTCCGCCTTGTGGCGCCGGCACACTGGGTTCTAGTCCTGGTCAGGGCGCCGGATTCTGTCCCGGTTGCCCCTCTTCCAGGCCAGCTCTCTGCTGTGGCCAGGGAGTACAGTGGAGGATGGCCCAAGTGCTTGGGCCCTGCACCCCATGGGAGACCAGGAGAAGTACCTGGCCCCTGCCATCGGACCAGTGCGGTGCTGGCCGCAGCGGCCATTGGAGGGTGAACCAACAGCAAAAGAAGACCTTTCTCTCTGCCTCTCTCTCACTGTCCACTCTGCCTGTCAAAAACAAAACAAAACAAAAAACAAACAAACAAAAAACAAAAAAACCCAAAAATTTCCTTGCTAGGTACAGCAGTTTAAATTGTTATATGGGACACATGCTTCCCGTACTGGAGTCCTAGGTTTTGAGTCCAGGCTGTACTTCTGATCTAGCTTCCTGCTATCGTGCACCTTGGGAGGCAGCAGGTGGTGACTTAAATACTCCGGTATCAACTACTCATGTGGGAAACCTGGCTCAGCCTGGCTCAGTCCCGGCTCTTGTAGGCACTTCTGGAGTGAACCAGTGAATGGAAGATATCTCTGTCTCTCTGCCTTCCAAATAAATAAAAATTTAAAGAAAATTTTAAAAATGTGTTCATTTTTCTCACCTTTGTTTTCAGTTTTCTCTTTCTGGGACTCTTAACAGATGTAGGAGTTCCTGAAAGAGTTGTCTAATTTTCTTATCTTTTGTATTTCCTATTTTCCTGGAGAGTTTATTTGTATCTTCCATTTTTTTTAAACATTTACTTACTTGAAAGTGAGATTTATAGAGAGGGAGGAACAGAAAAAGATCCTACATCCACTGATTCACTCCCCAGATGGCCACAAAGGTCAGGGCTGGGCCAGGCAGAATCCAGGAGCCAAGGACTTCTTCCAGGTCTCCTATGTGGGTAGCAGGGGCCTGGACTCCTGGGGCATCACTGCTTTTCCCAGGCCATTAGCAGGAAGCTGGATTGGAAGTGGAGCAGCCAGGACATGAATCAGCACCCATATGGGATGCCAGCACTGCAGGCAGCAGCTTTACCACAACGTCCACCCCTTTTCTTTCCTTTTTATTAAAAGGTTTTCTGGGGTAGGTGTGTGTTTTGCGAAGTGATTAATACTCCTCTTGGAATGCCTGCAACCTGAATCAGAGTGCCTAAGTCCATTCCAGCTCTGCTTCTGACTGCAGCTTCCTGCTAAGGCACACCCTGGGGGGCAGCAGGTGACGCCTCAAGCAGCTGGGTCCCTGCCACCCACATGAGAGACTCAGGTTGAGTTCTGGGCTCCCTCCCAGCTTTGGGCTGGCCCAGCCCTGGCTGCTGTGGGCATTTGGGGAGTGAACCAACACATGGAAGATCTCTATCTCTTTGTCTTTCAGATAAATAATTAAACATTTTTCTACAATCATATTTTTATAATTCTGATTTCTTGTTCTTGGGTTATCCTTTTTCCCACTGTGCCCTGTTCTTCCATTAGAAATTTTCCTTAGCAATAGTTGTACATATTTATGGGCTTCAGAGTGATTTTTCAATATAGGTGTATAATGTGTACTGATCTAAACAGGGTAATCAACATTTCCCATTCTCTGACATTATGACTGCAGGCCTGGGCTTCTTTCTTCTGTTTGGTCATAGGGTTCATACTAGGCTATTGTGAACTTAATCTCCCTGCTATGCTGGGTAACACCAGGAACTTATTCTTTCAGTCTGACCCGGGTTTCGCCCTGTTCTTACTTCACAGACTGAATGCCGTATCTTGCTGAGTATATTGATTATAGAGCTTCTGAAAACGTCTTTCTTTCCTGTGTTTCTCTAAGCTCCAGTCTTATCGTCTGTTGTTGACTTGCTGTTTCAAACGCCCAGCAGCGCTCTGGGGCCTGTGCTGCCTCAGGCTGGCGCTGTACGTGGCTGCCGGCTCAGCTTGGAGGCCTCCCCCACCGCAGGCTGGGGCCTGTGTGCCGAGGGCCCTGTCACGTCCCCATCTGTAGGTGTTCCCTGTCGTGTGCGCCAGCTTCCTCAGCAGCGAGCCTTCCAGTCTTCCACCTGGGGACTAGGAGGGATTTTAAGGGAGCTACCAGCATTTGGAGAGCCCGTAAGGGTGCGATTTGGGAAAAGGGGAAGTGGCTTGTCTGAGAAGAGGTGATCACGGAAGATCACCTAAGCTCTCTGCTCTAAGGATGCAGCTGCCCGCGCCCTCAGCGCTGCCTTGCTTTCCATGTCCAGGGCCTTAGATGAACCCAGCCAATTACAAACACGAAGCTAAATAAACTCCACGAGGCTTTGCATAAAAAAATGCAAGAACTTTTTGCACCAATGTCTGAAATAAAAGAAAACAAAAAATATCCCCTAGCATCTGCTGTCCCTATCCCAAAGGTAGAAAATTTCCTAATCTGAGCCCTTTACTCCTCCCAGCTCTCCATGCCTCCCCCACCCACCTTGTATAATGCCTCAGAATGAGTATTCAGGGTCCAAGTTTGTTTTAAAATAACCCAATGAGCTGACAGACGGAGCTCCTGGGATTCTGCAGCGTTTGCTAGAGTCCACAGATGGGAAACTGCCGTCAGTTACAGGGTGGTGCTATTACCATACCCCAATGTTTGAAAGCCTTCAGAAAAAAAATCATCGGAGTTAATTAGCATGCACCAAAGCACTTGTTTTGTGTTGCAACAGTAAGAACTCAGATAATAAGAAAACACAATAGTGCATCCTCTTAACTTTTAACTAATATTTTACTGGCTAAAAATGTAGATTATAAGGAAAGAATTTAACTTAAATATGCTCTTATATGGCTAACTATTGCCTTACATCATTATAAAATAATAACTATGCTCTATAATACATACTAATAGTACCTAATTTGTGAGTAATTTCAATTTACCTCTCCAAGCTGCTTCATCCACAAATCTCTTCCAAGAAACTCCTGATGTAAGACTACAGGAGCTGAGTTCAGATTAAAGGCCATGGAGTCACTGCTCTTTTCTTTAATGAAGGGCTGGAGGTCAGAATTGATCTAGAAAAAAAAAAAAAAGTAAAAAGAGTCAGATCGGTGCAGTGTATATACACTAGTATGTTTTCGTCACATTCAGAAAGCTAAAGTTAATGTACTGAAAAATGAAGCGTAAGGGATGCATTTTAGTAAGCAAAAGGACATTCTGGATGATTAACAATAACCTTTAAAATTCTTTAGAAGTAATTTTCTCTAACACTTTCTTTTGTGTGTGTGGCATCACACTTTGTTTTACAGGTAAGGATTTAGATAAAGATTTAATAAATGTAATTACTTAATAAATTATCTAAGATTTAATAAAATATTCCAAAAACTTCTCTAGAGATATCCTACATATGTATATACTTCCCACCTTTTAATGAGCTATTTAAGTAACACCTGAAAAATATTAAATCCCATTTTAAAATTATATATACAGGGGCCAGTGCTGTAGCACAGAGGGTTAACACCCTGGCCTGAAGGGCCAGCATCCCATATGGGCGCCCATTTGAGTCTCAGCTGCTCCACTTCTGATCCAGCTCTCTGCTATGGCCTGGGAAAGCGGAAGATGGCCCAAGTCCTTGGACCCCTGCACCCGTGTGGGAGACCCGGAGGAAGCTCCTGACTCTTGGCTTTAGCCAAGCTCCAGCTGTTGCGGCAAATTGGAGAGTGAACCAGTGGATGGAAGACCTCTCTCTCTCTCTCTCTCTCTCTGCCTCTTCTCTCTGTGTAACTCTGACTTCCAAATAAATAAATAAATCTTTAAAAAATTATATATACAAAGAGGCAACAACGTAGCCACTGATTCGGGGACATTTTGTATTTCACATGCCATTCAAAATATCAGTTATCAGAATTAAAGTTTTTAATTTTATTGAGCATGTTTCCAAATTCCATTAACTGTCTGTAATTTGCTTTACATAGGAGCTTTAATGACACTGTAACAAAAATAATAACAGATAGGAAAGGTCTTCTAAAAGGTCATGGAAAATGCAAATTATGAAAAACCTGCATGGATTTCAAAATTTCTTTGCACCCAATAAACTTACTTTTGAATTCCATTTTCCATGAATTTTTTGCAGTAGGCTTATATTTTTCCATTATGTGAATAGCACTATTACGTGTTATTTAATAATCTACAAGAGTTCTCTCAAGAACCCTTTTGGGTGGTGAGAAAATATAATCAGCACAAATATGGTTTCAGTAAGCTGTAGCTCTGTGCCAAAATTATACAGTACTTAACAATCATGCTGTTTCTATCACATGACAATCACCTTTTATAACCGATAGATTTTAAGCACACAATAAACATTTTTTTTGAGACATAAAAGCAGCTTACTAAATGGCAGAATGTTTTTTGTGTACCCTGTTGGCTGTGTAAGTACGGAAAGAAGCTAAAGGGCGTGCAGATACCTTGTGACTCAGGGCCATGTGCTTCCCGTACTGGAATGCCTTTTCCTGAACCTCTGTGCCATGCTTTGCTAACTCCATTGCAGCTTGGCAGCTCTTCGCTAGCAAGGCACCATGGGAGAGGAAAGTCTGCTCCTTCCAAGCTGATATTCCGATGTCTTCTGTGATACAATTTTCCTAAAAGTGTAACAAAAGCCAAGGCAAAAAAAGCTTTAAGGGTAATCGTTTCTGTTTTTTTGTTGTTGTTGTTTTTTTTTTTTTTTTTTTTTTAAAGAATCAGAGTTAAGAAATAAGCCATCCAAAACACTCATGCTGTTGCAATAAGACATCACCAAAAAATGCTGAACCTCAGCTCAACTCGAAAGAAATGGGGAGTTGGGGTACTGGTGTTTTAGGGTCCTGGGGAAAAAGTGAAAGAAGTGTTACAGCAAAGCTTATTAAGTGGCTTCTATTAAAATACACCCTGTAGGATACGGCAAAAACTAGAAACTTGGACTTTAAAACTCGACCCTCATCAGGTCTTGAGTGATGCTGAAGTCTATCATATTTAAGCTACGTGAGAGTGTCAATGGCATAACAAAGGAACTGCTTTCTCTTATAAACAGTTACACAGAAAAATCAGAGAGGGTAAACCACTATAATGGAGGAGGGTTAGATCACAGAATCCATCAGTTCATTCTCCTGAGAAGCAAGGCGGTTCCGGAGGATATAACTGTGGTATATTAGATCTGACCTTCAAAAATTATGAAAATCTCTGTAGTATCTGCATGAAAGCAGGTATGGCTGCAACCTCTCGGCCAGTGCTTTCTAACAGAAATGTGATGGGACCTGCATGCACAAAGTAAGACTTTCTAGTAGCCACACCAAAAAAAGTGCAAGGAAACAGGTTAAATTAATCTTAATGACATATTTCATCTCTCCCAATACATCCAAATACTATCATTCCACCAAGGTGCCGTTCACTCCTTTTCACACTAAGGTTCTGAAATGAAATCTGTGTGTATTTTACACTTGCAACATCAGTCACAGGCCAAGTGCTCCACAATGGACAGCTGGGCCTGGGCAGCGGACAGAAACGATGATGCAAACACGCAGAACAAAGTTCATCCGGAAGGAGTAATTGATTAATCCAAACATTTTCCTTCCTACACCCCTCCTGTCATGATCCTTCTACTTTTACCATTATTTGAGGACAAAATAAAAAATATTAAGAAAACTTCAGTGGGGTCATTGAAAGATCTTATTCAGCTTCATCTCTTTTATCATGTTGAGGGGAACATTTAGCCTACTGGACAAGTCAAACTCTCAGCTTAATTTTACTAAACCTCGCAACCAAAAGAAAGCTTCAGGGGCCAGAGTTGTGATGCGGCAGGTTAAACCCCTGCCCACCATGCCAGCATCCCATACTGTGGCCCTGCTGATGTGCCTGGAGAAATCAGCGGAAGACGGCCCAAGTATCTGGACCCCTGCCACCCATGTGGGAGACCCAGATACAATTCCAGGCTCCTGGCTTTGGCCTGGCCCAGCCCCAGCTGCTGTGGCCATTTCAGGAGTAACCCAGCAGATGGAAGATTTCTTTGTCTCTGTCTCCCACCTTTTCTCTGTCACTCTGCTTTTCAAATAAATAAAATAAATCCTAAAAAAGAATCCCCACTATGGCAACATAATATTGGGCAATGTTTAAAAAGCCACAAAGAAGAGATATAATGCATAAACTTAAGACCTACATTAGGTATAATCGGAGAACATATTTTAATGTGAAATTTAACAGGTTATATTTATAAACCTAAGAAAAACTATATTATTTTTTCATAGAAAGGCATTTGACAAAAATTCAACCTCTTTTTTTATATATTCGGAAGGCAGATTAAGGAAGAGGGAGAGAAAGGAAGACCTTTCTCTCTGTTTCTCCCTCTCACTGTCTGTAACTCTACCTGTCAAATAAATAAACAAAAAAATCTTTAAAAAAAATAAGAACAGTGTCTGCTAATAATAATGGGGGCCGGCGCTGTGGCACAGTGGGTTAACGTCCTGGCCTGAAGCACCGGCATCCCATATGGGCGCCGGTTCTAGTCCTGTCTGCTCCTCTTCCAATCCAGCTCTCTGCTATGGCCTGGGAAAGCAGTAGAAGATGGACCAAGTCCTTGGGCCCCTGCACCTGCGTGGGAGAACTGGAGGAAGCTCCTGGCTCCTGGCTTCAGATTGGTACAGCTCTGGCCGTTGCAGCCATCTGGGGAGTGAACCATCAGATGGAAGACTTCTCTCTCTTTGCCTCTCCTCTCTCTGTGTAACTCTTTCAAATAAATAATAAATAAATCTTTAAAAAATGTTTATATAAAAAAAAGAAAGAGGGAGAGAAGGCAGGGGAGATCTCCCATCATTGATTCATTCCTCAAATACCTACAACAGCTGGAGCTGGACCAATCTGAAACCAGGAGCTGGCAACTGAATCCAGGTCTTCCACATGGGTGGCAGGGACCCAACTACTTAAGCTATCACCTGTGGCCTCCTAAGGTGCATATTAGCAGGAAGCTAAAATTGGGAGTGGATTTGGGACTTGAACCCAGGCACTCATATGGGATGCAGGAGTCCCAAGCAGTAAAACCACTACATCAGACACTCACCCCTCAACTCCTATTCTTCTTCCTCTTTTTGAAAGGTTTCTTTATTTATTTGAAAGTCAGGTTACAGAGAGAAGGAGACACAGAGACAGAGAGGTAGACATCTTCCATCTGCTGGTTCACTTCCCAAGAGGATGCAATGGCCAGGGCTGAACCAGGCCCAGCCAGGAGCCAGTAGCTTCATCCATGTTTCCCACATGGATGGCACACTTGTGGGTCCCCTCTGCTGCTTTTCTCAGGCCATCTGCATGGAGCTGGACTGGAAGTGGAGCAGCTAAGAAATGAACTGGTGCCCTTGTGAGATGCCAGCATTGTAGGTGGTGGCTTTATCCACTATGCGACAATGCCAGCCCTTAAACTTCTACTCTTGATGAGAAAAAAGCTCTTAATAAAAATAGGAACTGACGTGTATTTGTTTAACATGATGGATGTGTGGATGTACACATTTCAGCTAAATGTCAACAAACATTTCATGGAGAAGCATTAACCTTTTCTCACTAACATCAGGAATAAGACAGAGATGCACACATCACCGCTGTTATTCAACATTGTAATGAAAGAGACAAGAGAAAGGCAGATGTCTAAGAATTAGAAGGGGGGACCGGCACTAAGGTGTAGCAGGTAAAGCCGTCGCCTGCAGTGCCAGCAGCCCATAAGGGCGCTGGTTCTAGTCCCGGCTGCTCCACTCCAGATCCAGCTCTCTGCTGTGGCCTGGGAAAGCAGTAGAAGATGGCCCAAGTGCTTGGGCCCCTGCACCCACATGGGAAACCAGAAGAGGCTCCTGGTTCCTGGTTTAGGATCGGCACAGCTCTGGCCGTTGTGGCCATCTGGGGAGTGAACCAGCAGATGGAACATCACCTCCCCCACACCACCTCTGCCTCTCTGTGGCTCTGCCTTTTAAATAAAAAAAATAAATCTTTAAAAATAAATAAAACTTGGAAGGGAAGAGCTTAACTATCACTGCTGGAAGACAATATAACTACATTAGGAAAAACAAGGGACTCAACTAAAAAATCATTATAATTCAGAAGATAATTCAGTAAGGTGGCAGTGTGTAAAATTAATAGTTTATAATAAATATAATAAATGTGATAATTATAGCTTTCATGAATAAAAATTAATCAGAAAGTAAGGATTTTTTTTCTTCCATTCTATACACAAAATGAAAGATTAAAAAGTCAGGAATAAACTTAGAAATATGCAAAACTGATATCAAGAAAATGTTAAGATACTACTGAGGAACAGAAGTAATTTAAGTGAATATAAAGACACATGATGTTCAGAGATGGTAAGATCCAACCTCATAAAGTTGCTTTAATAAAACTGACAATAGAATGCAACTTACAATATTTAATAAAAATCTTATTTTTTTAAAATATTTATTTATTTATTTGGAAGTCAGAGTTACAGAGAGAGAGGAGAGGCAGAGTGAGAGAGAGAGAGAGAGAGACAGAGAAGAGTTCTTCCATCCACTGGTTCACTCCCCAATTGGCTGCAATGGCCAGAGCTGCACTGCTCTGAAGCCAGCAGCCAGGAGCTTCCCCCAGGGTCCCCCACGTGTGTGCAGGGGCCCAAGGACTTGGGTCATCTTCTACTGCTTTCCCAGGCCATAGCAGAGAGCTTGATCTGGAGTGGAGCAGCCGGGACTAGAACCAGTGCCCATATGGGATGTCGACGCTTCAGGCCAGGGCATTAACCCGCTGTGCCACAGCATTGGCCCCCAAAAATCCTATTTTTAAAAAAATAAAACTGACAATAACTCTGAAAAGCAGGCAACTTGATTCTAAAGTTCTCACAGGGAAAATAAACAAACAAGAATAGTCAAGAAAACTTGAAAAAAAGAAGAGCAATGTGGGGGTGAAGAAGGAGGTGGTTAAATATCATATACTACAAAGCCTAATTAAAAACAAACAAAACATGTATTCTGTAAACAGATAATGGACAGTATAGAAAGTCCAGAAAGCAAACAAGCCATACACAGGAATTATTATATTTTAGGGAAATGTTAGACTTTTCAGTATATGGTGCTATCTGCAAAACTAAAGTCTGCATTTCACACCACTGACCAGGATAAACTTCAAATGGTTCAAAAAAAAAAAAAAAAAAAAAAAGACAACCAACCAGAAAATCCTAGGCAACATTAGAAGATAAACCGCATTTCCTGTAATAGACAAAATGGCGAATATCCTATGACAGGCTTAATAACATCCTCTCATCTTGCAAAGATGGCTGGAATCTCTATGGGGGGTCATCAGGATTCCCTTCAGGATTTTGAGATGGGGCTAGGGAGGGGGTGCCGGGTCTTCATCAGACAGAGGCAGTGAGGCAGTGTCATGGAAGGTGAAGTACTGATGGAGGGAGAGGCACGCTGCTGGCTGTGAAGCTGAAAGACAGGGCCGTGAACCAAAGAATGAAGGCAGCAACCGGAAAAGGCAAGGAGCCCCCAGAAGGAATGCCACCCTGTCAGTATCTTGCTTTTTGTGGCTTCTGATGGATAAAACAAGTCCCCACCTCCCTAAAGCTGGGGAGAAACAGGCCTCTCAAACATGGGTGGGG